AGAGGGAGGTGTCGAGTTCCTGGGAACAGACTACTCAATGTCTACTTTTCTGCTTGAAGTAGCCCCTTCTTTCCCCATTGTGATGTACCATGGGATTAAAAATCATATTATTAAATCCATTAGTTGTGTCCATAAATCAAGTGTTTATGGACCTGAGCCTGTGAGAAAAGTGACATCTTTTGAACCTTGATCTCTGCCAGGAAGTTGAAAAGTTACTATCTTAGACCATCTTAAAATGAGATAGGCCTGTACTGAATCTTGTTACGCTTTAGAGAGAACAGTGGAGGATGCTGCAGGATTTGCAGATATGTTCTAGCTCTAGGCAGTTTATTTTTTTCTTAACTCAGCTACAGACTTTCTCAAAAGGAAAACATCACCTACTCTTAAGGCCACCACCCAACCACCTTTTTTGTTCAATGTGATAATCTCTTGTGGTCAATTTCTATCTTCTTTTCCCTTCCTGACAGTAAAGGAGAGTCTCAAATTACTTGACCCTTTGCTTTGATTGCCTGCCCCTAATTTAGTTTTCCTTCTTATTCTCACCAATGTGAAGCAAGTCCAGACTAACACACTGTTGCTGACTAAGTTTTACACTACAAGTTTATTGCTCAATTTGAGTAGCACTGGGGTAGAAATTTGTTTGATAGCATTCTTAGCATTTTTCAAATGTGTAAATATTTGGTGAAACAAGACTATAATAAGTAATATAGTATTATATAAATATATTGGGCCAGGAAGGGTTTTGGTCAAGGTAGTATACTACTGAGAAAGTTTCCCACTTAAAATAATTCTGGGAATAAATTTTTGTCCTAAACCTTTTAAATTTTTAACTTTTTTCTGATTATGTATTATAAAACACATTGGCTGTAGGAAATTAAAAAAAAAAACAGAAAAGTGTTTTTTAAAATTTATTTATTTATTTTTGTTTTGGAGAGGGAGGGGGGAAGAGGGAGAGGGAGAGAGAGAATCTTAAGCAGGCGTCACGCCCAGTGCAGAGCCTGATGTGGGGCTCAGTCTCACAACCCTGAGCTCATGACCTTAGCTGAAATCAAGAGTCAGACACTTAACCGACTGAGCCACCCAGGTGCCCTGAAAAGCGCTTTTTTAAAGGGAGAAATACATAACAAAATTGTGTATTTTAAGCTCCAGACCAGTATCTGTGGTGTTGAATTATTTCCATGGGAAGTTTCACAGGCACCTGTAGCTTGGTATGTTCTGAACCATGCCCCCCTCACAGTGATAGAATACATCCACACAGTCACCCAAGACAGAGTTGACATTTGTCCTAGATTCCTTTCCCTATCCCTCATGTCAAATTAACCACCAAATCTTTATTCTTAATTTATTCTTTAATTAGCAAATATTTATTGATTGCCTCCTTTCGTGGAGTGGTGATGCTGACCTACTCATCTTCTTGCTTCCTGTACTGTTTTTTTCCAAATGCTGCCACCATGTTGCTGCTGGAGTGATGTTTCTAAAATATACATTTTGATTTTTCAGTAGATTCCCATAGTTCTCATTCTTTGGTTTGATCACAATAATCTTTAGAATAGGACATTTGCCAACCTCATCTCATTCCATTTTCCACCTCTGGCATCTTAAACCCCAAACAACTTGCAGTTACTCAAATGTGTCTTGTTCTCATTTGTCTCCCTTTTGTCCTATAGAATGTTCTCCATTTCTTCTCTTATAATAATAATAATAATGATAATAATGTCTGTTTGTCTTGTATTAGCTCAAATTTAAATAAGTTCAGAAGGCCTTCCTGACCTTAGATTGAGCTATATGCCTCTCTTCCAGTTTCACATGGCCTATAATGCATATCTCAATCATAATACTTATCACAGTTATCATGTACTATATAATGCTTCACTTGTCTATCCCACAAAAATATAAAGCCATGAGGGCAGGTACTACGAAAGATATATAACAAGTATTTGATAAATATTTATTAAATAGGTAAATGGTATTTCTTTGGAGGTTGCCTCTTATTATGATTTGAATTAACATTTATTTGCATACCAAATAGAGGAAGTATTGGTATAGCTAATCAGAATTACCTTTCACTTTGTTAATATGAATGAAAGTTCTAGAAGCAGAAGTTCTAGGAGGAACATAAAGATTTATTTAAGCTATGGATAAATAGGAAAACTAGGATAAGAAGGAAAACTGTCATCAGTAACAGAAGAAGAAATTATTTTGGGTTAATGAGGAAATGGTCTTTAGTGATATTAGATGTCACTAAAGGCAGGATGAGGGGGAAGAAACATTCTAAACATTCAGAAAAATCAGTGTAAATGATTTAATCATGTGATGGAGTCATCTTGATAGTATTTAAAGAAATGCCCTGGGGTGCCTGGGTTGCTCAGTCAGTTAAGCGTCTGCCTTCTGCTTTTGGGTCATGGTCTTGGATTCCTGGGATCAAGCCTCACGCCAGGCTCCCTGCTCAGTAGGGACTCTGCTTCTCCCTCTCTCTCTGCCCCTCCCTCCTGCTCGTGCTCTCTCTCTGTCTCTCCTCTCAAGTGAATAAATAAAATCTTAAAAAAAAATGCCCATTGTACCTAAAATTCCATGGAAAAATATTAATGTTTTGAAGGTAAGGACCAAGTCTAATATTTCTTCAATATTCCCTGTGCTACTCATTATAGAAGATATTTTTAAAAATGATTGTTTTCTACCTTCATTGAATATAAAATAATTAAAATGTGTTAGCTATATAAAGAAAACAGACCTTTGAGCATTATTTTCGAGTTTTTAACCTAGGGACACGTAGGTGGCTCAGTTGGTTGAGTGGCGACTCTTGGTTTTGGCTGGGGTGGTGATCTCAGGGTTATAAGATCAAGCCCCAGGTAGGCCTCCATGCTCAGTGGGGAGTCTGCTTCAGATTCTCTCTCTGTCCCTTTGCTGCCCCCCAACTTACACACATACACTCTCTAAAATAAGTAAATAAATCTTTTTAAAAAATAAAGTTTTTTAATCTAGTAATTGCACATCTGGAAAATACAGTGCAAATAAATGATACTAATATACATGATAAAATGTGGATATTAGTACTAATACCTCAAGATATTTATGGGAATTAATACTGTTATGTGAAGTCCTTCCCACTGCTTAATAAATGTTAGCTGCTGTTGTTAATATTTCTTTTTTCATGCTTTCAAAGTTAAAAATCATTTGCAGATTTTTAATAATACGTAACTAGTAATAAATGAAAAAAAGTCAGTCATGCACTGGTAATCACTTTACACTGATCCTCTACTCCATTGTATTTCCTTAAAAATTACAAAGTTATAACTAGTGAGAGTAAAGGATCTAGCTTATGGATGAGCTCTATCTTAATGAGGAGTTTACTAGGTTGAGTGAGAGTGGGGTTTAAAACTGTTGGCAGAGGGACGCCTGGGTGGCTCAGTCGGTTAAGCGTCTGCCTTCGGCTCAGGTCGTGATCCCAGGGTCCTGGGATCGAGTCCCGCATCAGGCTCCCCGCTCCGCGGGGAGCCTGCTTCTCCCTCTGCCTCTGTCTCTCTCTCTGTCTTTCATGAATAAATAAATAAAATCTTAAAAAAAAAAAAAGACTGTTGGCAGAATAAAATGAAAGAAGACATTTTATAAAGTCTGACTATTCAGCTCTTACTATTCAAAATCACACGAAGAGTTCAGTTGGTATTGTGTTTACTCCTTATGCTCCATGGTTTACTTGACTATCGCAAGCAATTTTATACATGCAAAATGTATTTCTCATCAAGACAAAAGAACTGAATAAGTTTATCAAATTTGTATATATATTTAGCTCAAAGATCTGTAAAGTAACACTAGTATTTCTGACCACCTAATATTCTAGTAGTCATTTATTTAGTCTGTTTCAATATTAATTTGTATTTTTATAGAATGTAAATTCCAGGAGGACAGTACCACATATGTTTTTTTCATCTTTGTGTCCCAAGGATAAGACTTGGCACAGAGTGATATTTATTCAACAACAAATGAATGGATGAAGGCAACCTTATTACAACTGTGTATTCTGTGATTTAGTTCAAATAAAATTTAGAATATGTACTTACAATTACAGTGTTAAAGAACACCATTTTTTAAGCTGAATTTACAACTCTTTTCTATTTTTAACCATTTTTTTTTCTTTCCCACTGAATAATCTGGATCTGTCCTAATACCTAAACTATTCCCAGGTTGTAACTTTGGAAACAGCAGGGATTAACTAGAATACCCTAGTAGGCTTTTATTATTTTTTTTCAAGCTTATTTTCACTTAGTGAATGATAATTGCACATATTCAGAGTTGTCCAAAATATATATAACCCATGTTAAAAAATTCTATTTATGCACAAAATGAATTCTGTCTCATTTTAATATTTTCTATCTAACCTTGTCTTTTGTTTTGTTTCTTATTGGCTAAATTGTAAGATTTCCTAAAGCCAATACTCAAGAATTCCCTTAAAAGGACAATTGCCTTAGAAAACAGGAGTAGAAAATAGTAGCTATTGCCTGCTTTTCTTATTTTGTGCTGATTTTTAAAATTCTAGAACATGAACAATTGCTTTTTCCGTTCATGATTCATGTAGATAAACTCTTAAAACCTTTAGCTTACATTTATAATATGAAACAAATAGTACATCTTTTCTATAGTATCAGGGAACATTTTTTAATGTTCTAACATGTATTTAAAACACTGTTTTATATATAGAAAATGTGGTTGCTAAAAGCCAACGTCAACCTCTTGGGTTATTATCTTTGTTTTGTGTTTATTAACATAGTTATTATATTAATAATATAAATTTAACAAAATGTTTTTTATTTTGAAATATGAGGACAACGTAACTTTCAGTTAAATACATCTGCTATAGTCCATCAAAATAACATCCTCTGAATGTATTCTTGTGATTAACCAAACATCCCCTCTCTTTGTCTTTTTGAGTAACAGCATGCTTCTATGGCTCTTTAATTAAATGACCTTACCTTACATTTGTCTCGACTGGCTTCTGTTTACAGAAATTGTAAACCAATTGAATGCTCTGAGCAGCTTAGATGAAGATCAAGATGACTGCATAAAGCAAGCAAATATGCCTTCAGCTAAATCAGCCAGTTCCTCTGAAGGTCTAAGAGCTTTCTTCCTTTCTTTCTGCTTCTGATTGCCTGTATTTACTGTGACCTGCTACCTCTTGACTTCTGTCTGTACTTATTAGCTGTCAGTTTTGTCTTTGTGCTTTTCCTTGAATGTTTTCTTTGGTAATTTGTAGCGTACCAACAGGCAACAACATAATTTACCATCTTTAGCCAAGCCTTATGACAGTATCCTTCCTTGATAGGCAGTGATTTAAAAACATCTTATAAGATAATAATTGATTATATAACATGACCATATTTCTTCAGTTAGCTTATATATTATAACTATACTGTTTTTGAAATATTTGCTTATATTAAACCCATTTGGATTATTCATATTTAGAAGTGAAGGGTATTTTTCTAAAAATCTGTCAGCACTTTTTTATTAGATTAAATTAGATGATGGAAGTTTCTCTAGTTCTTTATCTGATATAATTTTCAAAATAATATGCATATATTTGTTTTGTTTTATTTGAAAATGTTGGTATGCTACAAAATACATGAATGGCATTCTGCCATAGGTAAAATGCTTCATCTTATTATTTGCAGGTATTATTAGTGTGAATTTTTACAATTTGAAATATTTTTTGAATGATGAAGAATTATACTTAATTACAATCATGGTGAACTAACACATATGTTTATTTTCAGAGCTTATCAACAAACTGAACTTTTTGGATGAAGCAGAAAAGGAATTGGCCACTGTGACTTTAAATCCATTTGGTGATCCTGATGTAGCAGAATTAAACCCATTTGGAGATCCTGACTCAGAAGGTACTGAGTTTTTTTCTGTACTTCTAAAAGCCTTTAGAAAGTCAAGTTATCTTGAATTGTAATGTAGGAAGAGATTTTTTTTTTAAAAGACTCAAAATAATTTTTGTTTATGATGATATTGTGTTCAGTGCAGTTGATTAGCAAATCTGGGTAGCTTCCATTGAATTGTTTTTAAAGAAAAAATAAACCTTTACATAAACATTTACATGGGGCTTATTTTTTTTTTAATTCCAGTAGAATTAACATGCAGTGTTATATTGGTTTCAGGTATACCAAACAGTGATTCAACAATTCTATACATTACTCAGTGCTCATCACGATAAGTGTAATTTGAGTCCTTTTCACCTATTTCACCCTTCCTCTCCACCCACCTTCTACATGGGGGTTATTTTTAAATTCTCTATTAGTTTGGTCAGGTTAGATGGTAAAGCTCTAATGTTAAAGATAACAGTATTTCACCTAGCTGGCATATAGTAAAGTCTCATTAGATTAGCCTACCAGGTAAGGTCAAGTTATGAGACATGCTGATATTGGGATTGTGGGATGGCTTCTCCCTCTGTCAGCTCCTCTGCCCTCACTCTCAGAGAGTCCAATGAACTCCCCCCACCCACCACTCCATGTCTTTGGCTGAGAATTATAGTTAGTAGTGAGAGTAAGTTGTGCATGTAAATAGCATGGAGCAAAAAGAATATGAATATGCTATCATATATACAACATACTTGTAAGGAATACATCCACGGAAGTTTTTTCCTGAGTCATTTTTCTTATCAAGTAGTTTTGAACTCTTAAAGCCTAGATAAGAGCTGTTGAAGAAGTGAGGCCAATTAAACTGTTTGTTCAAAGTAAGTGCAAGAATGATCAACCAGTGTATACATCTTTTAGACTGCTCTTATGAAATCCTCAAGAGCTTTGAAGAATTTTGTTACTACCTTTCATGGTGAAAATGAGGTTTTAACTTCAGGATTTACTCTTATTGGAGCAATATCATTTTGTAATCCATTTCTCCTTCTCTTCCTTTATTTTCTCCCTTCTTACCAGATTCTAAATTTGTAAATTTAATTTAATGAGATTTTATGTTGTTTGTGACATATATATATTAAGAATGTATTTTAAATGTCAATAATTATAATAAATCTTAGAAGTAGTCTACTTCAGCTGCCTCTTTTCATAGATTAGGAAGCTGAGGCCAGGAGGAATTCACTGGTGGAACAAGAACTTTAGGTAAATGGAAGTGGAGTTGGAGCTGAGATTCCTAATAAGTGTCTTCTTTTGACCACATGGCTTCTCCTCAATTGTGTACAACATATATCTGAGTATTCTGAGTTTTAAAAATATTACCAAAATATTTTGAGACATCAGTATTTGAGTTTTCCATTTCAAAATCAAATAAAAATAGTTTTAAAAAATCTATGTGGGTTTGGGCGCCTGGGTGGCTCAGTCGTTAAGCGTCTGCCTTCAGCTCAGGTCATGATCCCAGGGTCCTGGGATCGAGCCCCACATCGGGCTCCCTGCTCAGCGGGAAGCCTGCTTCTCCCTCTCCCACTCCCCCTGCTTGTGTTCCCTCTCTTGCTGTGTCTCTTTCTGTCAAATAAATAAAATCTTTAAAAAAATATATATATATATATATATGTGGGTCTGTTTTCTGAGGTAAAGAAAGGAGTAGGAGATAACACATAATACAGTATTTCTATTTAGGAGAGGTTAGTCAACCTGATTCAGAATCTTTAACCATGCCTATAGAGCTAAAAAAAAAAAAAAATGTGACAACCAATATTTTCTTTAAATATACGTGTCTTAGAGTCTTTGGTTTAATTATTTTCTAATAGAAGAATACTTGTTTTTTAAGAAATAATTTTTAAACTTTTATTGATGAAAAATTTGCATCTTCAAGTAAGAAAAGCATGTGAGGAAAAAATAATGTGTTGAAGTTGTTTAGATGGTTCTTTTATTTGCTTTTACAGCTTCAATTCTCCTCTTAGATTCATGACATTCTGTGCATCAGTGACCCTCTTAGAAAGTATTAAATGTGTTTGTTAGCTTTTATATAAAATAATCTCATTTTAAACCCTCCTTTGTTGCCATTTCTGTCATCTTCAAACTGTGCTCTATAGTTTGAATGCTGTCTTGCTTTTGGTTTTGTAACTGATGAATTTGCTTAGATCAATCTTCTTTCTGAAAGTAAAAATAAAAATCTTATTTCTGTTGACCAGTTTTGTTGTTTTCTCAAGCATTTGAGACTTGATATTTGTTAATAAAAATTGAATAGGCAAAAATTTTCCAGCCTCTTTTCCCCTATAGAGAAAAGAAAATGCCTTGTTTACACTGTTATAAAGATTCTAATGAAGTGTTAAGTTTGAATATTATCCTAGTGTTAAAACGTTACACGGTTACTGTTATCTCTTCTCTTGCGTAGTCTAGATTTAAATTTAAATTTAAAATTTAAGATTTATTTAAATTCATTTCCGTATTTATTAAGATTTTATGAATTCTCTTTTACATTTTATAATTGCTTCTCCATGGTGTATGGAATTTCAATTCAGAGGTTTTTCTCCAATATAAAGACAAAATAAGTTTTCTGGGCTAATGTCTGAAGTATAAGTAAAAGGAGCTTGACTTTAAAATATAAAAGTCATAAATATGTCAGTCATGAAATTTTCATAATAATTGGATTAAATTGTTTGAAGTGTCACTTATGAAATAGTTATTTTCTTGAGAATTTCAGTAACCAATTTTCTGCCTTCTACAGTATTTTGTCAGAATTGCACGGCATAATTAAAATTAACTTTTAAACTACCCTCTGATTGTTGGCTTTCTGAAACTTTTCTTCAGTCTGGGAAAACATTTGTTTTTATCAGAATCCATGACCAAATGTTGGACAGTTTTATTACAAGTTCTAGTTTTGTTTTAAAATATTAAGACACATAAGAAGAAAAAGGCTGGTACTAAGCACTTCTTCGTAAGTATCGTTGGTGGACATGATGCTATTGTAGTGCTTTTTGTGCTGGGAGTCAGAATTTTATTTTTAAGGGCACCTTGGTTTTCAAAATGAAATTTAAAATAATAAAATTTAGAAAAATTTGGTGTAACATGTCATCAGTTTATCAATATGATTTCAATGTAGTACTCTCTATCTGAGAATTCTTATGTTAGTCCTTTACCTTATTAAATAGAGTACTTATTGGATCAAATTGTGCCTCTAAGAAGGTTAAAATTTCAAAAATTGGCATAACGTAATGCTAATAATATTAGAGACCCCAAGGGCATTCCAAAAATGCCATTTTAGGGGCACCTGGGTGGCTCAGTTGGTTAAGCATCCTACTCTTGATTTTGGCTCAGGTCATGATCTCAGGGTCATGAAATCAAGCCCCACGTTGGGCTCCATGCTGGGTGCAGAGCCTGCTTAAGATTCTCTCCCTCCCTCTCTCTCTGTCTCTCCCCCTATAAATAAAATAAAATAAAAATAAAAATAAAAATAGCCTGTTCAGAGCTGCCATTTTGAGGAGCAGCATTCCTGGAGAAGTAGACAAAGATCTCAGGTAACACATCTTCTGAACTTAGCCCCTCTAAAACATATTATTGTTTTGACTCTTTCAGCCCCATAGAGTATTAATTCAAGGTTATTTTTGTAAGCACTAAAAATATAAGAAAATATCAGATAATATTAATTTGATTTAATTCATTTTTTGCTATTGTTTTATAGAACCCATCACTGAAACAGCATCACCTAAAAAATCAGAGGAATCTTTTTATAATAGCTATAATCCCTTTAAAGAGATACAGACTCCACAGTATTTGAACCCATTTGATGAGCCAGAAACTTTTGTAACTATAAAGGATTCTCCTCCTCAGTCTACAAAAAGAAAAAATGTAAGACCTGTGGACATGAGCAAGTACCTCTATGCTGACAGTTCTAAAACAGAAGAAGAGTTGGATGAGTAAGTACATTTTATTTTGCTATCATTGTAAGTTAGTCTTTATGTTTAAAGAGATGCTTCTGTAATCTAGCTTTACATGGGTAAAAAGAGGTCTGCCCCAGTGTTAATATACAGTTTACAAGTTAGTATCTATCTCATGTCCATCTGAATTTTTATGATCTTGATACTGATTCTTCCACGCTCTTCCATGTAGATGTATGTGCACCCTAAACTAACAATGGAGAGAAATATGTTATTGAAATCTCTAGTTAGAATTCCAATTGTGTATTCTCATTGGAACCATATTATAAATGGCACTTAGATTTTTTTTTTTTTTAAAGATTTTATTTATTTATTTGAGAGAGAGAGAATGAGAGAGAGCACATGAGAGGGGCGAGGGTCAGAGGGAGAAGCAGACTCCCTGCCAAGCAGGGAGCCCGATGCGGGACTCGATCCAGGGACTCCAGGATCATGACCTGAGCCGAAGGCAGTCGCTTAACCAACTGAGCCAACCAGGCGCCCTGGCACTTAGATGTTTTTAATCAATTACTGTAAGCATTACACTTCAATAGTGTTAGGTTCTCTTGTGGGAACCAGATCATCATTTATGATATTGTTTTGATGAGAACACTTGTTCAAATGCCAAACAACAAGACCATAACAATTAGAAATTAGAAATTGTCTTTATTTGAGTTATTATTCTTACCCAAATATGATTGTTATTGATTACAAGCTCATTATAAAAAGTCAGTATGATTAGGGCTGCCATTTTACTCAAATCTGGGGGTGAGGATAGGAGAAGGGTGTGTGCACATTGTATTCTGGAGTTACACAGTTCACAGCCTGTGTGGCTGCAGACCGTGGCCCTGAGTGTGTTAAACAGCAACAACAGAACTTCCACTTCTAGTCATGATGGAGTAATAGACTGATACAGCTTCTTGTCTTAAAAAACTAAAAACTAAAAAACTGAATGAAATATATGAAACAGTGGTTTTCAGATATTGTATGCAAATAGCACAGGACTGTGATTTCTGAGAAAACGGAAACAAAGAAGGTGAGCCCTTACTTCTCGAAGCCTTATTTATGGGAGAGAATTTCCAACTCTAGTTCAGGGAGAAAGAACCCAAAAGTCCTAGTAATCTCCATGGGTTTAGGAGACAGTTTGGACTTTGGAGGGACTGAAGAGAATGGAATTGTGGACAGAGTATCAGAGAGGAGAGAGCTACTCAGAAACTGAGTTTCAGAGATCTGTAGAAGGTTCTCCTTGAGTCTTTAGCTGAGTATTAATGAAAGCATGCATATGAGGAAATTACCAAGGACAAAGAATCTCACAGAAACATCCCTGGAGTTCACCCAGGACCAAGAATAGTTTATGTTTCCAAGCTGTTCCTTACACTTGGGACATCAAGTCAAGTCCTCATAATGGTGTCTCAATAATGTGGTGAGGTTAGCCCTAGAGTAAAGGCTGTTCTGGGCTTGCCTAACAAAGCTTAAAAGCAAGGCTCGAAAGAATCAAAATATTTCCAAGTAACTTATCTGCACGCCATACAAATATACCAGAGATACCAAAGGGAATACCAAAAAATCCAGCACCCAAAACAGAATTCACAATGTCTGACAACTAGTCAAAAATCTATCAGGCATATAAAGAAGCAGGAAAATCTGACCCATGAGGAGGAGGAAACTCAGTCATGAGATATGGATGCAGAAATGTCATAGGTGATGGAATTAATCGAATAGTAATTACATGTTTACTTGTAGTGAGGCTGTATGGGTCTTGTTTTTCTCAGAAATATGTGAATTTTAGTGTTATTAAGATTATTTAGATCTTGGGAAAAATAGTTATTCCTTTAAAAATACAGTTTAATAGAAAAATCTTTCAAAATAATGGGGATGTTATAGATTGAGAGGGGAATAATAAAAAGGCTCCTTCAATGTATGAAATTGGGAGTAGTTGCTTGGTGTTAAGGAAGAAATGTCATTTCTTTCCTGTGCGTTGGTTAGCTCCTGTTGTGAGCACTGTTTTACTTCTGGGTGCTGCACTTTACAAGGGGCATCGATGATTCAGAGCATTAAAAGAGTAGAGCAACAGAGTCATCAAATGCCCAGAAACCACATCAAATGAGCAGTGATTGAGGCCATAGGGACTGTTTGACTTAGAAGAGCGATTATTTAAGGGAACTACAATAACCAAATTCAAATATTTGATTTGAAAGAATGAGGTAGTTGACTTGTTTTCTTTTGCTCTGGAACTACATTTCTCAGCCTTTTCCCATTTTACACCATATGCCTGTGACTCTCCATGGGCCTAGTTAGGTTTTGATAAAACCTAAAAAAAGTTCTAACTTTCTATAAGTACATAGAAATACATCATAGTAATCATCTGATTCCAAATCCAGGTTTAGATTTCAGTACCAATTAATAACTATACAGGGATTGAAGAAGTTGGCAGAACTCTTACTGAAGTTATTATATTTGTTTTCTTTGAAATAGCCAATGTGTGATCAAAATAAAATTTCTCATGGGTGGTGTAGGTGCTGAGTAATAGCCACACACCTAGAGTATTTGAATGTAAATATAAACTTGAAGTACAAGGGTTCAGTCATTCCAAGATGCATGAGTATTACACAACTCACACACACACCCTGCTCTCTCCTATTAACAAATTAAAGAGACATCTAGTGTTTGCTTAAACTTTTAAAATGCCTTAATAAAAACTAAAATCAGAATCACTGGGTGTTTCCTTTTGACCATTCTTTTTTTCCACATGAAAGTCATAGTCTTTACAAGTTTCTCATGAATAAAGAACATTCTAAATTGCTCAATCATCTGAGATTACCAGAGGGAACCTATAAACACTTAAGCTTTTTTTTTTTTTTTAATAGGAGTATACATTCAGAGTCTAAAGATTGCTCATCAGCTAATTTGAGAGTCCAGGAAGAACTCTATTTCTCATCCTTTTTTCTCCAAAAGTTTGTAGGTCCCACTACATTAGCAGAAATCTTCCAAAATTTGTTCTTACTTCAATAATAAACTAATGACCTTTCATCGAGTGAAAAGCCTGTATTACTCATCTTCCATTACCAAACTCTTCCTGCATCCTCTGACATAAAACTATCATGAATAAACAGTGCTGAGTCCTTTGATGTGTAAAGCAACCTTCAGAACCTCAGCATATCCATCAGCACCGGGAGAAAGTAAACTTCAGTGCCAGTAGCACGTGTCCTGTATGCTTAGCAACCACAGGGATTTTCTCAGTTGTCTTGTGTTTGGGAGTTCGTTCAGCCATTCTGGTTTATGTAGCAAAAATGAAAACTGAGGGGGCGGAGCAAGATGGCGGAGGAGTAGGAGACCTGGATTTCGTCTCCTCTCAGGAATTCAGCTGGATAGGGATCAAACCATTCTGAACACCTACAAACCCAACAGGAGATCAAAGAAAAGAAGAGCAACAACTTTCTGAACAGAAAAGCGACCACTTTCTGGAAGGTAGGACGTGCGGAGAAGTGAATCCGAGGCGATATTCGGGAGGATAGACGGCGGGGGAGGGGCCTCCGTCGGCCGCTTCTGGCAAGTGATAGAGCCGCGGAGCACAAAATCGGAACTTTTAAAAGTCTGCCCCGCTGAGGGACGTCACTCTGGTGGCTAAGCGGGGGGTGGGACCCTCCGGGACAGTGTGGTCTCAGGACCCTCGGGGTCACAGAAAGACCGGGGGTGCCTGAGGGCGGCAGAGCTCCCAGGTATCGGAGCGGGGAAGCCGGCTGCAGAGGCGGAGCCCAGGCGCGGGCTCTCAGCTCGGGGTTGCCATTGACCGTGATCCGCGGCACAGTCGGGCCCCTGCTCCTCCGGCCGGGACCCAACAAGCGGCAGATCCGGGGAGACTCACCTTCCTCCCCCGGGAGGAGCCGCGCGGGAGCGCACCGCAGGGATCTGCTGGGTTTGGAGACTCCAGACCGGGTCGGGTGCCAGAGATAGAAACGCGTGGTCACAGGCCGGGCGAGCACGGGGTGCAGCCGGAGACCGGGGAGACGGGAGTGACTGACGGCTTTTCTCTGGGGGCTCACTGAGGAGCGGGCCCGAGCTCTCGGCTCCTCCGGGGCGGAGATTGGGAGGCCGCCATTTTCACTCTCCGCCTCCAAAGCTGTACGGAAAGCTCGCAGGGAACAAAAGCCCCGGAGAGCAAACCCGAGCAGATCACTTAGCCGGGAGGGGGCAAGGGCGGGGCAATTCCGCCTCCGGCAGGGACATTTAGAAACCACGGCAACAGGCCCCTCCCCAGAAGATCAGCGAGAACAGCCAGCCAAGACCAAGTTTACCGATCAATGAGAACGGCAGAACTCCAGCGCTAAGGGACTACTGCACATAGAATTCACGGCTTTTTTACCATGATTCCTTAGTCTTTTAAAGTTAATTTTTTTTAACTGTCTTTTTGTCTTTTTATTTCTTTTTGAATTTTTCTTTTTCCCTTTTTCAAACAACATCTTATCAATCCCTCTTTTTAAAAAAAAACATTTTTATTTTTCATTTTTAGAGTCATATTCTATCCCTTCATAGTAGTTACCCATATTTTTCGCTTATATATATAAGTTGTTCTCTCTTTAAAATTTTGAGATAGTTTCTTCTAACAGATTAAAATATACCCTAATTCTCTAGTATATGGTGTTTTCTATTCCCCTGCCTGATCACATCCTCTCCCTTTTTTTTTCTTTTTCTTTTTTCTTTTTTTAAATCCTCTTTCTTTTTTCAAACAACTTCTTATCAATTCCTTTTATAAAATTTTTTATAATTTCCATTTTTACAGTCATTTTCCATCCCTTCATCATATCAACCCTTATTTTTGTACATATATGTTTTTCTTTCTTTAAAATTTTGGGAGACACTTTCTTCTAAAAGACCAAAACACACCCCAAATCTAGTGTGTGGCACTGATCTATATACCATATAGATCATATTTGATCACATTCTGGTTTTTCTTTTGTTGTTGTTGTTTTGTTTTGTTTGTTTTTGTTTTTATCTTTATCTTT